GAAATTCAGCAAAATTCGCTTTGAATTCAAATTGAGCTTTCTTGAAATTTACTCGGAAGTGAATTGCATCATCTCCACATCATTTTATGAAACACAAAATTTTAGTTACGGCTCTTTTGCATTTCAGCGACGATATTAGATAGGGCCTTCTTATATTAAGGTAACGATAAGTACCTACTAATGTATTTTTTAAATCTGTAAAATATAGACAAGTCCTTTCCTAAAAGTGAGCGACACTTGAGGAAACTCTATTATATAATAGAAATCGTTGGCTTCACTATAAGAAGAAGTTTTAGGTCATTGCATCAAAATTGATGCGACATCGATGGAGAACAGTAGAGTAATTGTTAGGGTTTCTTCTCACTTGTTTCACTAAGTAAAACTTGTATTTATATATGCACAAAGTACATAGTATACATATATACATATATGTATGTACATACATATATCTGTAAAACCCAAACAACACACCGGCTACCTGTGAGCCACCTCCACTGGCATACAAACAAAGCAATTAGCGCATTGCATTCCACTTAAGGTTTTAGCCAAACCAAATATTTTTACGATGTCACTGTTTCGTTAAGTACGTTTGTATTTGTTTTATTTTATTTTTTGTATTATTGTTTGTTAATTTATTGTTTCGATGGCGTTAACTGGCTAGTATGTATGTCGTCACTAGTGAACATTTTTGCTTTTAAAGTTTATTTAGTTTAAGGTCAAATGATATGGATTTTTATTGAGGACGCGTTAATTTGAAGCTAGTAATTAACTAAATGCACATATGTATGTACATACAAAATATTACTCGGTTAGAATATGCATATACATATGTAGACAATTTTCCAAAAAGTTTTTGTAGTGACAGTCCTTGGCCAGATATACATAGGTCTGGGTCGTTCCGATTAGGTAGAACCGACTGTCGTGGAGCTAATTTTTTATGCATTCAAATTTTTTCTTTTTTATCGGAAAGTCATAGTCCACTAGTATTTGAAGTCAGCAGTTTCATATCGTTAGCTTAATATAGAAAGGCCCTATCTAAAATGTTTGTTTCTTTACGAAGTGGTGAAAAAACTGCCTACAAAATCAAGTCCTTTTGCTGCGAGTTTCTTTAAAAGGCTGTTTTTATTTAGGAATGTAACTAATTTTATGATTTAGTAAATATTTTTAAAATATTTTGACAAGAAAATGAGTTAGGGTCTTTCTATATTAAGTAGTAGTATATGCTATATTAATTTTGCCAAGTTTTTATGATACCCGTTAATATTTTAAGGTGATTAGCTTTTTTGTTTAAAAAATATATATTTTTTAAAACTTAACACCATGGAATAAATGTTTCCAATATACCCATTTCTGTTCTAGGTTAGAATGGTGGGGGAAAACTATTACGCCCAAGTAGCAGCTAAGTGCCATTTTGATCATTTCTGTTCTAAATACAACTTTTTTTTACAGAAAATATTAAATAGAAACCACTTTTCTTTGTAAAAAAACGCTCAAAAATTTTATTAACAAATTGTTCTTCGTTTGCTCGTCTCCTTATACAAATATATTATGCACTTCGATATATTCTAAACCAACGTTGTTGAATTTAATTTTGAAATTAAGCATTTTTCATAATAAAGTCTACTTATTTCACAATATTTATAACAATCTACTTAAGACTAAGGAAATTTTTAATTTTAATGTACAACAATTTTACTTGACTATTTTTACAAAAAAAAAAACACATTTTTGTAAATTTTTAATATATACAGTCAGAATCAAAAGTTAGTATACACCTTGTTCCAATATAATATGTATTCACAATTATTTTCATGCACAAACTTTGTCATAAATTTTGTATGAAAATATAGTTCATTCCATAACACAAACCATAAAGTCTCACACTTTTTACAAAATTCACAAAAATTCGAAATATTTTCATCCATATTTCAAAATTTTTATTCAGAATTTTTATAAAATTTTCGAATTCCCAGTTTTATAACCCATTCAATTTTAGTACAACAGAGTGCAATTCTCAAACGCTAAAAGTTACCGTTGCTTTTTTAGATTTTTTATGGAGGACGTTAACAATTCTGAAAAGTTGTTTAACTCTTGTGAATTTTATATACTACAAAGTGTGAAAATAGGATTTATATTGTTTATGTTATAGAAAGAACTATATTTTTATGACAAATTAATGGAAAACAACTTTCATGAAAATAATTGGGAATATTATAACAAGGTGTATACTAACTTTTAACTCTTGACATGCAGTGACATAAATTATATAAACTTCTTTTTGAACACTGGCTGCTTACAGTGTATGCTTTTGGGTTAACCTTCGGTGTTGGTTTTTGAGGTTATAGGTGTATTAAAGTTGGCAAAATCGTTTAATAAAAAGATAAACAAATGTAAATTAAGTACGGGTATGAAGAGTACAAATTTATTTCCTGGGTTTTCAATGCACTTTTTATTATCAAACACTTTTAAACAAATTTTTTTTTTTTGTAATTTGGTGATTGAAAATTTTTAACATTTATTTGATTTGCCATGCGTAATTTTATGCCATACAAGTTATTTTTTTACTCTTCTTTTTAAGAAAATCTTCAAATTGTTTTGCTCATTTTGCTAAAAAATTTAGCTTTTTTAAGATGTCGCCATTTTAGTTACAAAAAAAATCATGTTGTCTATTATCAAAAATGTTTCATAACTTTAGATTAAAAAAAATGCTAATTGCATTTAGAATTTTTTTAGGTATTTGTAAAATTTTTCTTAAAATAAGTTTTTGCGACTTTTGACAAAAAAAACACATCCAACCTAGCAAATCTTCGTTATATAAAAATTTTACAATTCCTGCAATTTATTAGTCTTTATTTTATGTAAGTTCATTGTGAAAATGTTCTTATATTACTATTTTATTACTGATACCTTTTGGCTACGCAATCTGGTTTTATATCTTTTTTTTCTGTGATTCTGTGCCCTCTGTTCCATAACCTCAGTTTATCAAATGGATGGCTTTCGTAGAGGCACTTGAATTTTGTATAGTCGCATTGAACTGGCTAACTACTTATGTAAGTTGTATATAAATATTTGCTTAATATTTTTTTTTGTTTTATTGCACAACATTGTTTGTTCATGTACTTTGTACAAAATATACATATTTATCGTATGTATTTACGTGTATTTAGCTCTTTTGTAAAACAATTAGCGATGCTGAAACTTGGGGGTTTTCATATGGAAGCAGTTTATGCAGCAGCTCCGCTGTTTTATTTATTATATATATATATATTTTTTTAAAGATGTCTTTTTGTAGAAAAAACCATAGAATAATAAAAATTGCTACTAAATAATAAAAAAACAAAAACAAAAACTGATTTGGCGATGCCTTCAATTCTAAAAATTGTAAAAACCCAAAACTCGAAAAAATTTCAAAAGAATTTTGAAAGTTTCTCCAATTTCTGGGTTTTCAGGGCTTTTACAAATTTAAAGAAATTCCCTTGTTTTGATGATGTCTTTTTTAGGAAATAAAACTAAGAAGAATGAAAATTGCTGCAAAAAAGAAAAATAAATGGCGATGCCTTCAATTCTGAAAATTACGAAAACCCGAAAAATTTCATAAGCATTTTGAAAATTTCTTTACTTTCGAGCCTTAAAGCATTTTTGCAAGGCAATGGGCTGTATGAATAAAAATAAGTAATTACTTTTTCTTAAAATTTCAGACATTTTACTCGATTTGTGCAAACAAAAGTATCAATAAAAAACTAAGCAATTGCTTTTTCTTAGAATTCCAGACCTTTTATCTTTCTTTATTTGAATAAACTGAGTACAAGGTCTGAAATCAAAGAAAAAGCTATTTCTAGATTCGGCAATCATATTTTTGTTTTTAAATAGTTCTACTGGAATAATCGATTTACTTTCTTAGCAAAAGTTAAATTTGTTTGCCGGTCTTTAATATACTGATATTAGGGTGGTACGTTAGAGTGATAAGAACTTAGATCTGGCAGCTAAGTACTAGAATGGGGTCCTTGAGCTCAATGAACTTTGGTACGGAAAAAAATATTTCCTCGAGACAAAAACATCGATATATCATATTTTAAGATCCGGCTGCAAAAGCCAAATTTACGACGAAATATGTAGAAAAGGTCCGGCAAAAAAGATATACATGCATATATAAATTGTTTTTCGAAACTGTCTTGCAAAAATATTTTAGATTCGAAGGTATACGGCGAACTTTTTTTCTGGTACGGTCTAATGTAAATTATGGCGGAGTAATTTGTTCGGAGCAAAATTTTCGACGAAAGTGTATAGCAAATTACAATTTTACGATTAATTCTAAGCAAAACTGGTGAACAAGCTAGTTACCAAAAATGACTTTTGACCCTACCAATTTTCAAAAGAGAAATCAGTATATCGAATGAAGAAAACACAATTTAGTAAATGAAAGATTAATTTCGTTCAGAAAAAATTATAATACACTGATTTTTCTTTTAAAAATTGGGAAGGTCAAACGTCATTTTTGGAATATAGTTTGTTCACCATACATATATGTGAGCTGGTCTACGAAAAGGGAGCTTACGTGCGAAAACTAGTTTTCTGTGAAAAAGCTGTTAAAAGTAAGCAACTCGTTTCGTCAGTTTCTCATTATCTCGTTAATTGTTCTCCGCGCCGGACGTCCAGTAAGTGTTGTTGCTGGTCCAGTAAGTGTTGTTGTTGGTCCAGTAAGTGTTGTTGTTGGTCGGAATATTATTATAGTTCATCGTGTAAGTTGCTAGTGTGGAACATTTAAAAAAGTAACACTGAAGAAGTGACGTTTACTGTTTCTGTTGATTATCGTCTTCGCATTTCGCATGAAATGAAACATGAGTGTTGATGAGGAGTTCAGTGCCGTATACGGACAATATTTCCATGAAAAGGATGATGAAAACGATGATGAAAACTATGAAGAGAGCGATGATGATGAAGACGAAGTATGTGTATCTCAGGCAGAAGATGATACCGAACAAACTTTTGTTAAGATGGACCTGTATGTTGTTGGTGTAAAGGAGGAGGAGCTGGTAACAAAATTTCTGTCAAAAGATTGTTGTAATAATGAATGCCATACACTGATACCACGGGAAATGATCGAGAGTACGCGGAACAATTGTTTAGAGATGTCGAAAAATGAACTTGATTTAGTGATACTAAGTCACATCGAAGCTGGAATTATGAGTAACGAAAAGCTAGAAAGTGTATACGCAAAGCTTGCTGGGCGGAAGAAATATGGACAGAGACAGGATACAGAAGTTATGAGGCATAGAATTCAATTTACCTTCTACAGAGTACCTGTTTGTCGTTCGTTTTTCCTTTTTGTACATGCCTGTACGACGAAGCGATACGAAAATTTAGTACGTCATTTTCACGCACAGGGTGTAACAGTGCGCCAACACGGACTGGCAAATAAACCGAGTACACATCCAAAGTCATTTAAACCGGCTGACATCGAAAAAGCTGTTAAATTCATCGAGTCTATAGCCGATTTAATGGCTCTTCCACTGCCCGGACGACTCCCAAAATTTAAGGATTTTCGGATAATGAAACTGCCATCCAGCGAGACGAAGTCCTCAATTTATCGAAAATACATTTCTTCACTCAGTGATGACGAATTGAAGATGAGTAATTGCAGTTTTCGACGGATATGTTCCGAATACATACCCCATGTTACAGTTATGAAACCAGCGGATGATCTCTGCGATGTCTGCCGTGGTAAGTAGCTCATTATTTTCTCATTTTATAGTTGTATCAAACGTTGAGATTAAATTCAGTATTTTTTCTTTTAATAGGAAACACAATATCGATTGCGCAAGCCAAAGGTGTTACTGACATTGAACGCGCACAGAAGCTTAATCAATTTCTTGATCACCTCCACTGAGCCCGAAATCAACGAGAATATTATCAAAGTTGGTGTAGAAATACTGACCCTACAGCAGTCGTTCTGTCATTTGATTTTACCCAAACCGTTCACTACCCTGTCAGTCCACAACAACCTGGTACAGCATACTTCAAAGCAACCAAGAAGTGCGGAGTCTTCGGAATTACAGACGAAAAACAAAAAGTTCAGGTTAGAATTTCAAACTGAATCATAGGAACTCAAATTGCTCGCCTTTACAGTATCTTACTTATATTTTTTTTTTTACAGTACAATTACATGATAGACGAAAAAGATGACGTTGGTAAAGGACCTAACTGTGTTGTGAGCATCCTGCATTATCACCTGCAAACCTACTATAAAGACATTGAAACACTCGTTCTTTTCTGTGACAATTGTGTTGGGCAGAATAAGAATATCACTGTACTATCATATCTGCAATGGTGTTTGGCTCGGGGTCTTAACAAAACTATTTTATTCAATTTTCTACTTACCGGGCACACTAAGTTCGCGCCTGATCGTTACTTCGGTATTTTCAAAAGTAAGTATGCCGTCAGTAACATCGACACGTATGCAGATTTACTGCAGTGTGTCGAGGCATCATCACCTGGGGGTTATAATAAAGCTGTATCGGCTGAAAAAGTCGTCTGGTATGAATGGGACAGCTATTTTAAACCACTGTACAAGTCAGTTGTTGGAATAACGCAATTCCATCATTTCATAATCTCTACAGATTGTGTAAAAACAAAGAAATTCGCAGACAGTGAAGAAGTGCAGTCTTTAAGCTTCTGTTAAAACCTATCGATCCTGAAATGCCGAAAGTTATACAACCAGCCGGTTTATCTTTGGAACGTAAGTGGTACATCTATCACAATCTTCGCAGCTTAGTTTCGGATATATCTAAAGTAGATATTGTGGCTCCATTGCCGAAAGATTTGCGATCGAAGAAACGGAAGGCAAAAACTAGTGAAGATGTTCTCAAACCAGACGAGGAACCAGGTCCATCTTCCTCAGGATCAACACGTAAAAAGATCTCAAGGAAAACGACAACAAAGAAAAATACATAAACTACTCAGCATTATTATTTTTGGCCCATAATACGTTTTTCTAGTGTATAATCATGTCTTTATAGCTTATAATTCAATGTATTTTGTTCATTACCAATAAATTATATTTTGTCGTATTTTTACTCTTCTTTCTCTACATTTTTAGTACACTTCTAAGCAAGTTAGGATTTTCTGCTTTTCACCACGTGAAAAAGCATCTCATCTTCCATCCGAATCAACCAAAAAGTGAAAATTGATTTTTTGACACCTAAGCCCCCTTTCCGTAGACCAGGTCACATATGCTTAGAATCGATCGTAGAATTCGAATGTGCCATATATTTCGAAACTAAATTACTCCGCCCTAATGTATGTACATATCGCTTATTTACAAGTCAAAAACGCGAATTTTCAGAACATGTACTCTCTTACGCGAAAATACACAAAGTAGTTGATACAGTCTTTGGGTGAATGTGCTGTATGTACCTTATGCAGTAATAAGCAACTTGTGTGTATCTAAAATTAATTTAATCATGACTTTTGGATTTTAACAAAAAAAAATTAATTTTCAGTAAAACTTTGCTTGATGTTCGGTAACAACTTCTCCATTGTTTTCTAAAAATCTAACAAATATGTTCCATTCTAAGCTATGTTAAGTACTTACTATACAAGTAATTTTATATTATTTACAATACAACAATATTATTAATATTTATATATGTATGTACATATATGTATATATTATTGTACAAGCATTTCGTCGCCTGGGTAAAAGATTGTCGTACGCGCAATTTTGACGATTTTTAGTTCTAGATGCAGTTATATATTTGGAAATAAGGTCTTTCGATTGGTGTTATCAGTTTTTAGATGTCTCCTTTAGTTTCCGAGATATTTACTAAAATTTTTTCGATAATTTAGTAAAAATTGAGTTAGTGGTGCAGTCATATTAAACTAATAAATATCGGTAAAATGGCGTTCTCCATTTTTGGATATCTCCTTTAGTTTCCGAGATATTGAGTAAAAAGTGTCGTTAATTTAGTAGAAATTTTGATCACATTTTGTCGTATTTCATACAAAGTGGCTGTTAAATTGTGGACAAATGACGCTTACGACAAAATTTTACTAAAGAAAATCCTTCCATAAACTCAAAACTAATTAACAGTAAACATTAGAAATTTAAACATTAATAATTTAAGAATCTTGTGAACTAGTAACATTTTCAGAGACTTCGGAGAAAATCTATCTTCGCGTTTATGAGAAATTGTATTCCAAACTTCAATCGCGATTTCCCACAACCTCCCGAAATTAACATACGACAATCTTTTACTCAGGCGACGATATGTACATAATTATTTTATCTTTCGCTTTGGCTTATGTTACTAGCAAATACATATATATCGAGGATTTATATTCAATACCCTCTATCTGCAAAGTTTACAAAAATTAGATTCTGATGTAAAAATCCACCCAAGACTTAACTGTCATCGGTGATATTAATACTGACATTGTATAACGCTTGACAGAATAATTTACTATTAAATTGCAAAGTCAGAACTAACATCAGTGATAACAGATCAGTATCAGATGAGTTCTAACATCACAAAGTAGTTTTTGTTAAAAATGCAGATAGAGGGCATTGAATATAAGCCCTTGATATGCACCTAATTTTCATATCATTGCGTATACATACATATCAAATTATTTTTTAATATTTAGTTAACGTCGTTGTACATACATACATATGTATGTATGTATATATTAGGTGGTACCGATTTCGGTTAGAACCAACAAAAATATGAAATTATTATTTTTTAAACTTTTACTAAATATAAGCACGCGCTTTAGCTCGTTAGTTTTATAGTTCTTATTTAATTTTTTTTTTTGTAACTCGAACACTCCCTCATTGTTAAAGCTTCCTAAATAAACTATAACTAAATTTTTAGTTTTCTTTATGCAACTTTACCTAACAACAAAATATGTATATACATAGCTTGTTGGAGTTTTCTTCACAGTGCGTTCACTAATCGCCGCAGCTTAAAAGCTTTTTGTTTTCAAATAACCACCCCCTGCCCCCCTTAAACCTACCTCACGCCACCCGACAAGCGTTGGCATATTCCACTGCATCGTGTAGTGTTGGAAAGATTTCGAATGGCCCTTCACCTAACGCCATACTATGTACTAGCGTATCGTAGACACGATCTGCCGGACTGGCTATGTACATGCGTACACCCAACACTTTCAGCTCTTTCATTATATCTGTTATCGCCTTACAACCAGCCACATCCACATGCCCCAACATAGAGAAATCCAGCACAATAAATCGAAAGCTATTCAATTGTCCCGCTTCACTATTCTCAGTGGTGGTGTTGTTGGTGGTTGTGCCATTCGCTTTCACAGCCTTTTTATTACGTTGCAGCTTCTTCGTATCCATGCCAATGGCATTGTAAAGCGAATGCCGGAAGTACATATTGCTGGCAAAATTTAGTGAACCAACATAACGGAAGATTTTCGTTTCAGGCACCTCGACTGCATTGCGATGATGATTGAGATCGACATAGACGGCTGCTGCTTCGGGTATTACACCCAACAGGCAACAGTAGGGTTTGAGTCCTTTGATGTAAAGCGCCAACAGTGAGATGACAACGCCGATAAGGAGGCTGTTAAGATAATGAAAGAAATTAGTGAATTTATGTTTATGTATGTATGTGTGCATATGAACGTGGTGGATATAGTCATAATTTATTAAGATATCTAAAAGTGAAGATCACAGAGAGCTTTTTCTGAAAGCTTCGAAGGGTTCTTGTTGCGGAATAGATTTTAGTTTCGACTGATGTGAGCAATAAAATTGCCAAGAGATCTTTTGTACACTGTCCATCTATACGTATGCAATTTAGAAGCTACCTCTGGTCTAAAACGAGATAATTTTGAGAGCGCCTTAAATCAGTGTCGGCCAGCAGGCGCTTCTACTCTGTGTCCATCTGTATAAAACACACCCTGCTGGGAAGCTTTTTAAAACTTTCCATTCATAAGGTATGACATAAATTCATACCAAAACGCTTTCCATAGACTTTATAGCGCACAGGTTAAAACGCTCTCTGATCGTCACTGGGGATATGTTTTGGTCGCGACTGATATAAAACACAAAAAAAGCTTGAAAAGCTCAAAAAATTATAACACATCTACAAAATGATAAATCTAGCACCGAGCTTTGTGGGTACCAGATCATTGTGGGATCGCAGTCAATAAGGAAAGAAAAGGATTTTCAACTGTGTTCATAGGAGCGGAATCATTTTATGGTCTCAGTTGGTCTTATTCGAGAGCCATACTTACTGAATGCAGGAAGTACTGGGGAGCCATTGGGGGCACCAGAAAAGAGCGCAGCCTTTTATATTAAGATTTAGAGGTCGCTCATCGCGAGTTTCTATTTTTTATATAAATAGCACAAAAAAAATATGATTTTGAAATTTTTAACTGGGTTTCAGTCAACGTATCGGAATGAGCGATATATATTTTTTGAAGGGAATTGAAAGATTTAAAAAAGTATCTCAAGATTTTTCCATAAATTAGAACTTATAGATACAAAATTTTACGTTTTACTTCAATGTCTAAATTTTATACTCAAAATTTTTAATTTTCTTAAAAAAAATGTTTTAACTTCCATTTTATGGGCTACATAACTGCATGCTCAAAATCTCTAATAAATTTAATGAAAAAGCTCAAAATTTTTAGGAAAGTTTGTTGAATTGCTTTTAAATATTGCACTTAGTATCGAGTTTCTCAAATCTCACGACATTTTTTAACATTGAACTCTCCGATACTCACCCATAGTCAATGTCAATCAACACCACCGACACAAAGGTCGCAATCCATGTAAGAAGCTCCAATTTACCCTGTTTGGAGTAGTTTTTCAGCTCTTTTGCTTGCATAAACATCGGTTTTAGGGCAACAATAATCACGCCAGCGAGCACGCACTAAAACAGACAATGCAACAAAAATTATTTTCCTACATATTTTACTAATAACTTACCCGCGGCAGTGTGCTAAAGAATGGACCCATCCACAGCAATGTCATTATAATCAATATCGCAGATACGAGTGACGCCAGCTGCGTCACACCACCTGTCTGTTCTTGTATAACAGAACGCGACAGCGAACATGCCAATGGATAGCAGGAGAAACAACTTGATATACAATTGGCCATGCCCAAAGCGAAGAGCTCCTGATTGGCACGCACCTCATATGAATGTTTCTTAGCGAATGTCAATCCCATGGACATAACCACCGAGAAACTAACAATTGCAATCGCTATTGAATCCACCGCTACCATGGGTATTAAATCCAAGCGCGGCAGTTCGGGCATTGGTAAACCCTTTGGGATATCACCGACTAATGTCACACCATAATTGCCATGCACATCGAGTAGGCGTGACACCAAAGTGCCACCAATGACTGAAATCAGTTCGCCGGGGAAGGGGAAGCGACAACGCTTGCGTAGACAAGGTTTGAGGAACTCATTGCAGATCGTCATAAAGATTATAATGCATATGCAAATAGAAAGCGCTATAATATTCGTTTTTGGTATGGATTTGAAGAGATCGAAAACGGTGTAGACAATTTTGAAGGCACCCTTGTAGCGTTGTATGTGCACGCCGAGCACATCCTTCAGTTGACTGACAATGACATGCACAGCAGCGCCGGTGGTGAAGCCATTAACCAGTGGATCACTAAGCAGCGCAGCCAATGTGCCGAGGCGAAAGAAGCCCATGCCAAGCTGTGTGAAAGAGAGGGATAAATTGAAGTTAACTATAGTTGAAATGAGATAAGATGGGCAGATTTTGTGTAAAAATGGAACTGGTGGAAACTATTAGTTTACAACACTGGAGAATTGGTTTTTTAAGATTTTATAGTGGAGTGAAAATACTGAGTTTTAATAAACACTGCTACTAATTTAGTTATTGATATGGTCGTTTTTTTAATTATATTTGGCCTTTAGTGAGTAATCTAACGGTTTTGTGTGTAACGGTATGTACATATACAGCAGCGGTCAAAATAATAGTAGCAAAATTGAAAATGCTATTAATTGCAACTCCTGTTTATTTATTGATTTTTAATAATTTTCATTTAAAATATAGTTCGATCTATAACAGAAACTACAGAAATAAATATTTCAAAAATTGCACAAAGTTAACAAAAATTAATAAAACTTCAAAAAATTTTCATCAAAATTTCAAACTTTTTTTTCAGAATTTTTAGAAAATTCTCGAGTATGTAGTTTTGTAGTCCATTCAATTTTAGAATAATGAAGTGCAAGTCAGTAAAAATTAGCGTTGAATTTTAAGATTTTTTTTTGTTGAGGGTGTTCAGCATTTTCTTCCATGTAACGTTTGAACAGAATTTATTTTTATATGGAAGGAAATGCGCAACGCAATCTGCAAAAAAATTTCTAAAAAATCAACGGTAATTCTTAATGACTTAAAACTGGCATTTTTTTACATTAAAATAAAATGGGCTGCAAAACCGCTACTATTATTATTTTGACCGCTGCTGTATGTATGTAGGTATATGTGTGTTTTGCTTCACATTGTGCTTGTATTTAAAAAAAAGTTTTTGGTGATGAATTTTTTGAAGTTTAAGTTCTCTGAAGTTTTTGAGATTGGAAAAATTATCGCGTATGCATTTTGTCCCAAAACAGCAGATTTTAAATATATATATACATACATACAAACGTTTCAGACTACCTCGCATTTCACTAACTCAACTACTTTTCATGTTTATGATTTTTTCATATGTTCTGTGTGTTTACTTTGAAAAGTGTTTTACGGAACGTAAGTTTTGAGTAGCCATTTCGTACAAAGCTTTTGCATTAACAATTTCTTAAGTTTAATTAATTTTAAATACATTCCACATACGATACACACTATTCACCCATTTAACTAGAAACACTTTCGGCGGTTTTGTCTTTCCACTTCATATGTAGAAGAAAATATTTTGTGGAACGTAAGTCATTAAATGAAACAAATTTTGAAATTTCAAAAAAAAACTAAAAAATAACCTTTGCATATGTATTAGCTTTGTTCCACGCGCTTTTCGGGCTGTCTCGGTAATTAGAGCGTAAAAATAAGTTACGCTCTCAAAATTGTCAAAAATGTGTCAACACGTGCCAGAGCGTGAGGAATGCGAAAAACCACATTTCGTGCCCGGAATCAGCAAATCAACTCTAAACAATGATTTTATGTGTATTTATTTTATATGGCGAATAAAATTATTTAGTAAATAACTACATTTTTTGAAACTTCTGTGGTATTTTCCATTTCCACAACAGCTGTTATGGCAATTTAACTTTTCGCACATTTGTGCCCGTGTGAGTTATTTGCTAAAGCAACAGTAAACTTATAAATACACTCCACGCTTTTATCTATTTAACTTAACCACTTAAGTTACCTCCTTATGTATCCTATTCACATATGTAGATAGAAACTATTGTGTGGAACGTAAGTTACTGAGCGCAAAAAATATTTCAACTGGCAGCTTAAAAGCACAAATTCCCTCCTACTTTTTCCTCCAACTTTTTAAGCAGATCTAATATTCTTAAGAGTATCGAAAGTTCCCTTAAATACATACTATCCACTATTCACTTACATGCAAAAGTCCTGTACAAAAGGCCAGCGCTGTTGCCACCTCTATTGGTGTTATTATCTCCGCTACCTTTACAACTTCCGTCGCCTCCGCCGCTGTGCCATTCCGCACCATTTCTGGTGCCAATATCATATGGTCCTCCGTTGCGTATGTTTGCACCACTTTCAAAGTCATCATAGATATCACAGCAAAAGTTCCAATCGATATGTGTCTCGAGGTACCCAATATCATGTACACTAATACCGGGAATATGGCTAACGCCAACCCGCAACCAGGTGTCACACCAGCAAGTATACCATAGGCCATGCCATGTGGTATATTCATAATGGCCACTGTGACGCCAGCTACAAGATCGCCCATCATGTCACGACGCAATGAGTAACGCGGCAACCATTGCACGATAGGCACTATGCCAGCGAACAGCGAGAGAAAGGACCAATTGTCCCATGAACGGCGCATACCCGATGGGATACTTTTGTCGCGTGCGCCATAACCGGTCTGTTTGATGACCACCTCGTGGGATAATACATCGCGATGAACATCATATTTTGGTTGTACTTTTGGCTTTTCCGTGAGGTAGGCCTGTGTGAGAGGTTTAGTTCTAAAGAAGATATCGATGAGGTGAGAGAGAGAGAGAGAGGAATAGGGTGAGTGGGTTTTGGTAAGGTGAATGTATTTTTTATTATTTTCTTCTTTTTTTTTTTGCTCTATAACTTACTCATTATCACCATTCTGTTGTGCCATCATACTGTTTAATACGCTCGCATCCACAACCACATCGGTGTATTGATGATGTTGCAGTCGTTGTTTATACTGATTGTGACGTAAGCTCGTGCGTGGTGTGATCGATGATAGTGGTGGCGTACGCAAACGCTTTGGACGCTTTGGCTTTGTGCCAGTTGACTTTGAAACTTTTACTACCGTTGGTAATTCGAGTGTTTCCACAGACACTGAACGCTTAACGTTATAGCTGCCAGAGCTCAATGACGTAACTGACGAAGTACCTGCTCCGCCGCCGATGCCACCATAAATGCTACCAGCTACAACTCTTTCCCTTTCAAATTGCAATGTATGTGGTCTGGTTGCGTTGCCGTGTGGATCACGTCTGCGTTTGAAGCGTTCGAGTGCAAATTTGCGAACGTTTTTAAAATTAATCGGTTTCTAGTGGATGATAAGATGGAATAAGAAGAAACAAGGAACATTAATTCAGATTAAGCTGGAGTTGTGATTGTGTGTTGTCTTTGTGGGAGTAAGATTAAAGCGGTTTATTATGTACGTATGTATGTATGTATGTATGTATACGAGTATATATTAAAATAAGTATGTCGGCACATAGCAAACTAATCAGATGGTGTACGTACATATGTATGTATGTACGTATGTGTTTACAGCTGATAATAATGTCTACAAGACGTGAGTTCAAATATTTAGATTAATTGGCAGGTGAAGGGATCGTAAAAATTTATGGTCACTTGCTATCTTTATAATGTACATACATATGTCTATACGTTTAGTTCGACAGGGATTAGAGTGACAAGGACAGAGATAAGATATTCAACTTTGTGGAGGCTGTTAAATATAAGTATTTTTTTCCAAGTCCCTGAAACTATTGTTGGAACTAAATAATAAAACCCTATAAAATGTGTTGGAGGGAAGGCAGTTATGATTTTTGGGCTATAGCTGAGATAAAAGCATAGTCTAAATAAAAAAATAAAAAATAAATCAGGTATTATCTGTGGAACATAAAACTATAATTGTACTGCATACTACAAAACATATACATATGGAGCTGCTCGAATGCAAGACGAAACTTCACAATGATGATACAATACACACAGACACCTTTCGCAACTGTAAAAACGCTTTCAGCTCAAAATACTAAAAAATACGTTACACATAAATTTTTTCTACAAATTAACCTACGTACGAATATACATATCTTCTTTCGGTTATTGATCTAAGTGACTTTTCCCACAAATACTGGCCATTTTTTGCAAATTTGCATTGCAATCCACAAATGTTTGGCATAAAAAGCTTACCATAAAATGTAAGACATCTTTAAAACCAAATTCTACTCGAAAATTACCATTTACAAATATCTTCCACATACGCTCCACACATTTTCTTCCCCATTTATAGCCTCACACAAACAACTTTATTTTAAGCTACATACGTTGTCACTCTCCATAAAATATTTGTACCTTTTTTTCATCGGAATCATTTATTATATTTTAAGACCTTTCGGAAAAATATTAAAATTTATGCGAGCTGGACCGATTTGAAAATATGTATCTACTTACAAAAATCGAGTTTTTGGAAATAAAAAATATTTTTTCAAAAAAAGTCCAGGGACCGTAAAGTTTATGATTTTTATAATTATTTAACTGTTAAAATTGGATTCTATTTTCGGATATCACCACATCTCCTCATCAAACTTCTGCATCGAGTTCACTGAGATTTGAATTCGCAACTTCGGCGTTCAAAGCCAGTGGTCTTATCCACTGAACTAAGTTCGCCAAGTAATATTTTTCATTAAAAAAAACGACCTCAAGCGCAATAAAATTGTTTAACATAATTGTTATAAGGCAATAAATAACAAAAAAAAACTAATTTTATTTTGGAGATGCTTTTAAATAGTCGTGAGATGTAAAATATAATAAATTTTACGGTTTCGGTGGAAAACCTGCAACTTTTTTTTGTGAGCCACACTAATGTATTAGAATCCACAAATTTGTAATTCGAGCAACAAAATTAATTTCGTCAGTCTATGTTCAGACACTAATTCCGAAGTACTTTTTCAAATTTTTAATGCGTTAAATCATCAAATTATCAGCGGTAGGCGTTAAAATTAAAAATAAGGCAAAATTATTTGGTCCTAATTACTAGGAATTCTAGCAATAGGCGTTAAAATTAAAAATAAGGCAAAATTATTTGGTCCTAATTACTAGGAATTCTATTTTTATTGATTTTATAAAATGCATGCAGCGCCAGAACCGATAACAGTTGCAGGTCTCTACATTTTTATTTGTTTTGCTAAATTATGATGTGCAATAAAACTCACAAATTTCTACAGTATCATTCTCGTTATTCTCGAGTTTTTGATTTTTTTTTTTTTTTGATTATGACACTATTGCAGTAACACAGATACGATGTATTCCACGACATTAGAAATACGATTGAGAACACTTTTACTTACTATATATATATGTATATATGTATGTATGTGCAAATGAGATAAGTACAAAATTAAGTCGAATAACGTGTCCTCGTTAGTTCATGGAGAGTCGCCAAATCAGTTGTATTCCACTAGAATCTTATTTTACAATTCACAACTACCTACAACCGCAATAAATGCAAATTACAAGAACGTGCTGCCATTAATAAATAACTATAATTTGTGGTCTAAAAATACCATTTATTTAACTATTGTAAATATTTTATTCCTTTTAAATGATACGAATAATATTTATTGCTTATCAAAATTATTTTAATACTTTCAACAGTAAAAAAAAAACAAATCGTTCTATGTAGTTAGTTACGAATATTAAGTATCACACTTATTGCCAACTTTTCTTATGTACGCACAAGCTTCAGAAATTATCGACTGCTTGTTGAAGATACCTTAGCATGGCCTTTTAAAGCTGTACAAAGCAAACCAGCGACTCCTCCTACTACGCAAAAATGCTTTGCTTTCGATTTTTTGTTAACTTTACCAATCAACTAGAATATATTTTAAACTTTCATAACAACATCTGCATTGTTACTACATATTTATGTTTGTATGTATGTGCATATGTGTGTGTGTGTGTGTGTGTGTGCGCCTATTTCGTCGTTATCACTGCTAAAAAAATCTTCAAACGGGCACATAACGCATACGCCGTGTTGTACTTTGCCGCACCAACGCCGCTAACGAATCATCATGGGTCAGCACCGAAGTAGCCGACGATATTGAATGTGAAATTGGTGAGACAACACCACGGTTTTAAGTGTAAAATTTACTAAAAAACTCGAAGCTTATCAACAGAATGAGTTTAAGTGAGTTTAAAGTGAGCAAAATGCAACCAATAAAAGCAGTATTGCCATTTTGGTGCTTTTGGAGCTAGATTTAGCTCTTTATTTTTCTATTTAGCTCCGAAAATTGGGTTTTAGCTCCTAGCTCTTTTTTTAGCTATTTTCAAATTTATCTAGCACTTTTTTAGCTCCAGAAAGTTTTAGTTGTATTTGGTAAATATAAGCCGAAACTAAAGCGTTGATAAAATGGAAAATTTCGACATGCAGTGTATCCACCATAAACTCTTGGATCTAGGTTAAAAAATTCAAAAATTAATACGAAGAAAATCCTTTTTCTGATAGCGCGGATTTTGTTTTACCTTACATTCCAGAAAAATTTTGCGAAAAAATTATTAAATTCAAATATCTGAAATTACAGACTTTTACAGTTTGTAAATTATTTTAGTTCACTGTTATAAGTGTCATAGCATCGAATTCGAAATATATGCACCTTATTTTTTCAGCACTTAAACTTATAAAATTTGTTGTTTTATTAGAATTGCCGAAAACGTAAAAACAACATTACGTCAATAAATGCTCAACCTTAAAAAAAAAATATGTAGCTCTTCATTTTAGCTACTATTAGTTTTATTTGGCTCCTTTTAGCTCTTTTTTCGGCCGTTTTAGCTTCAAACGAAAATTTTCTCTGGCAACGCTGAATAAAAGTCGGAAAGATTGTGTGGCGTACTGCATACATACATACTCGTATATTGAGTAAGCACTAGAATTGAGTAAGAACTACAATACATATTACTCAGTTCATTGGTGCTTAACTCGCCGCTGATAACTTGTTGTTTTTTTTTTTTTTTTTTTTGCAAATTTTCAAGTGTTTTTTTTTTGGATAAAGTTGCATTTCTTTTATTATTTTTGTCGCTTTCGCTATTACGACATTATCGGTTATATTTAGTTATGTAGATATGGATAGTAGAAGTGAAATGTGCTTGCAAATGAAGAAATTCGGTGATTTTTTTTTAGCTTTACGTTTCAAGCAATTTCCTCTATTTTCTGATACTTAGTACTGAAAAAAAAAAAATTTTAACAATTTTATTAGCTGATTCTACAAGTACTATGGCCTTTTTGTATGTTCTTCGCAACAAGCCATGTATGTGCAAATCCAATGTGTGTAATAATTTTCATACCCACAGCTCAGGATTGTCCAAAGTTTTCTCCATGCTTAAAAACAATTGCTGGCTTTTGTATAGAAAATGTTGGGATTTGTTGAATTATTCATATATTTAGTCGATATTGCTGATACGAATACATAAGCACATAAGATAAAGAATGTATTTTGAATATTTTGGTTATGGTGTACATATTAAATACTTAAGGATAAGTGAAAATGAATTCAATTCACTAAAAAGTTCCAAAAAGTAATTTGATTGATTTCTTATACCTGACATATCAAATATAGACCAGGTATTCACCATGCATACGGTGACCATATTTTGTAAGTAAAAATAAAGTATACATTTTTACTATATATGACGGCAGCCGGTTTGGGAAGGCCCTATCTCAGCAAATTTTTCAAGGACGCCCTATTTCAGAAGAATTTTGTTGAACATCGTCCCAGCTCAGGAAATGGTTGAAGAACGCCCTATCGCAATGTAAATTCAATATATTGGCTGCTGAGATAGGGCGTTCTTCAACCAAATTTTGAAATAAGGCGTTTTATAGCCATTTCTTGAGACAGGGCGTTTTCGACCGAGATAGGTCGATCTGCCACTCAGCCGTTGATGTACAATATATGTATTCTTACTCTCATACTTGATACGCGTGCTTTACCCTCCACTTCCAATAAATCTCCCATTACCGTATATATGTACATAACTTTTCGATAGGCCTGCAAGTTTCTGAGAAATTAGTTAATCATTCCAGACTTTTGATTTTTAAAATTAAAAAATTCAAACTTTAGCAGGGAAAAACTAAAAAAAAAATAACAGATTTTGCGTCAATTTTTTTGTTTGTGTTACTCATATGCAGGGAACGGATTTGTAGGACCTAAAAAGCTATAAAAAGGCACAATGAAATATCGAAATAGGCAGAAAAAGGCACTAGAAATCGCAAAAAAGGCAAAAAAAGGTACTAAAAAAACAAAAACCGAAATATAATCAAAAAATATATTTACATATTTTAGTAGTGCTTATTTTACTAATAAAAAGAGAAAAACTATGAACTAGTTTCATTATATGAAAAATTTGTGCTTTGAATCTTTGACTATTTTTCCTTAACTTACAAAACTTTAATCTCTATAGTTGTAGTAACATTGAACCACACGATGCATTTAAAGTTTATTATGCTTATTGGCTGTCTCACCGGTCACAGAAAAATTATTATTTTTTTAATATTGTTATTGAGCTTTGTACCACGAGTATGTTTTTTTTTTTACTAAATTTACAAATATGTAAGCTTCCAATTGTTTGTGAATTAAGGTAACGATATTCTTTTCAAACCAGTAGTACTCAATTTACTCACGAATTATGTGTCCTCAATAGTAACTCGTCCCACCCGTCACAAAAAATACTCACAAGCTAAAAGAGTTTTTTTTTTTAATTTTCTAATATAATAATGCCACCAAAACATAAAAGCGACCTTAACATTATATTGCCTATATATGAGTAAGGCGCTATTAACGAATCCATCAACTCAGGGAGGCGGGTGTCAACGTTATCGTTACTCTTAGAAAATATCAATTTTCTGTATAAATTATATAATTAAGTTTTATACATTATTAGGTCATATTAAACTCATATCTGACTTCAAGTTTTAACATTTTGAAACTTTTCAAATTAATGGTCAAAGAGAAATTACTTAAAGTTTTAGCAAAAACGAGTTAAAATGTTCCATCCATCACTTTGGAATGCCCCTATACAGAAGGACAGGTGGAAAGACACATATCTTGGCAATTTTGGGGAAGTTTAGTCATCTGTTAGACTGAACATATTCTCCATACCAAGCTTATTAATTGGATGGTGAAATCTCCAAAAACCGAAAATTTTAAATTACTTCTCTATGTTAATAAAAAATTTAAATATTTGCTCACATCAAAATATAATATTGATGCGTGCATTTTAAATTGGAAATTTCATGAATGAAGAGCAAATTAAATTTCACTGTAATCGATCATTTTGCGTATATATGTATGTACATATGTATGTATAAAAATCTGTAAAAATCCCGATACAACGCAAAACTTGAGCAAAACAAGTTAAACAAGGCGGACAACTGATGTTTAATAGCAACTGAGTCAATAAAGGTGATTGTATGTTTGCCAAATTTTAGCGACAATATACATAGTACATACACCACATACATATATATATATATATATAAGTAAATACTTATTTAAGTATTTAGTTCATGCACAGCGAGGCTCTAATTAATGTTTTGTGGCATTTAAGACGAACTTATTGGTGTGGACAAAAGAAGTGCAAATGATTACACAAAATTGGTTAGCGAAAAAATTCATCTGAAATCAAAGTAGACACAGCCAATTCTGACGCAAAGCCAATTCTGAAAACGAATGGATGATGCCCAGAATATTTTTAGATTTTTACTATAAATAAATCGTGTAACGAAAATGCCATATACATTTTACTATCCAAACATGTATGTAATAATTTTCGACTTGCTATAAATCTAAGTAGAATAGAGTGTAAACATCGGCTTAGCATTTAGTTAAGCGATATTTATTTGCCAACAAATACCACGCCTATTTATGCAGTTTATTATTATCGTTTTATTATTTATTATTTGCACAAATTGTACTTTTCTCATTTTCTTTTCTGGCACATGGCTTTTCCCACACAAATACACTCTCTTGAAATGGACCTAAGCGAAGCTATTTTTAATCGCTTTTTTCGTGCTGCCCACCTTGCACGTGAACAATGAACTTGAGATTTAAGCCGAAGGTGTACAAGAAGCAAAATATACGAAGAAAATGCAAAAATAAAACTGAGCAAGCAATTAGTAGTATATGCAAAAAGTTATGCTGTTCGCTAGAGATGTCAAGTGTAGCTTGCATCACAAATGACTTTCGAATTGTTAAGAATAGGAACATAGGTTATTGTAACGCTCTTATAGACCTCTAAGTAGCGTTGAAAGCTTTCTAGCACCTAGTACTGAAAACGTGTAATTAAAGAATTTTTAATTCAAGATAAAAGTGTAACGTGGAACCCATGTGGAACATAATTTTTTACTTCATCATTCGGTTACACGAATTAAGGCAATAAAAACACAATGGTAATACAATTTTCCGGTTACAAAATCTTCGCTAACGTGCAGAATAGACCTGTAAGTCCGAAAGTCTTTTCGTTACAAAAAAGCATTTGGAACGTGCGTGGAACATATTTTGAATTAAGTCTAATCTAGAAAAAAATTGGAGTAAAGAATTGTGGAACGTATTCTGAACTACATAAGTCTAATTTAGAAAACGGTTTTTCATGACGAAACATTTGTTGATCATTATTAAAATTAGGTTTAATCTAAAAAATTATTTTTCGAGTGGAAACATTTGTGGTACACATGTGGAACGTGTTCTAATTCTGAATTTTATCAAACAACTATGCTTTTAAAAGTAGTCATTAATTAGATTCAGTATAATAATACCTCCCGCATATGTAAATATGTGCCACAAATGTAGTTTTCAGGCATTGAAGCTAATTTTTGTGAAAATTTGTAAGTATAACTAATACACGTGCAATAACTAACGGCGCTTTACAGTATAGAAATAACTAATTAAAATTCAATGGTCACACTACTTTAGTTCCAGAATAGCTCTTCCCGAGACAAAAAACTAAAAGTCTTGGAGCATATGTACATATCTGAACCGAATTCTATTGGCTATTATTCATAAAAAATAAAGTAGATTTAAAGAGCTTTATAAAATGGCATTTTCATACATTTTTCAGTTTATAAATCTTTTTTAAAGGTACTTTATTTTTTATGAATAAGGCCATATGCATATTGAAAAGATATAAATGACTTGACAGTACTTTCTGACAAAGTGTTGTCCGATATTCTTTAGAAACTCTTTTCACAAAAAAAAAAAGAATTTTTTATCGGAATATTTTTTTTTTATGTATAGTTATTAACCTTCGCTCACATTTTATCATTTAACAGTGAAATAACTCAAATTTAACTTGCTGACGTTCGTTTATTGAAAAAGTAGGCGAATGGGTAACACAGAGAACAAAACGAAGTATAAAAAAAACGCTACAAAAAAAACTTATGTTCAACTTTTATTGTCTGAGTATCGCGGTCAGCAACTTTTGCTAATAACTATAAGTGAAATAATTAGCTTATCAAACTTAATTTTTAACGATATTCAAAGTTTTACTACTCAGCATAAATTTGCCAATATGTAATTTTGGTATGTATTTGATTTATTTTCAACATGTTCCATATGTGTTCCGCAACTTCACATACGTTCCACATAACTTCCACCACAAACAAAGCATCAAATTTTATTTGTAAACTCTTCCTTGACAAATTTAAAAAATTCTATTAGTTACTGGTCAATTTATACATACATATGGTCGATGTTTTTGCAAAACCGCCCATCGACCAATTGCAAAACCGCCTATCTTACGGCACTCAAATTTTACAGGAGAGCAAAAAACGGCTTTTCTTTGAAGGCATTGCCTTGAGAGGCGCTATTTTCTCTAGCTATTATTTTACAAATCTGTTGTTTTAATAACGAGTTTACGATTCTTATGCATAAATCTGGATGCCCGGAGTTCAGGCGGTTTTGCAACTGGTCGATGGGCGGTTTTTCCAAAACATCGACGTTATGTATTAACATACACACATATGTACATTGAGGTCATACAAAACAAAAAAAAAGAACATCCATATGCCATACTTTAAGATCCAACTATAAGTGCCGAATATATGACAACAATTTAAAATAGCGACCCTTTCGTTTGGCAAAAAAATATTAAAAAAATTCGAAATTGCCCAGCTAAAATACTTTAGACTTAGGGGTGCACGGCGAACTTTTTTTCTGGTACGGTCTAATGTAAATTCATTATTTGTGTTACCAGCTATGACTATGCCTAATGTGTGTTCAGGTGATACGGTTATACATAAATGCAGCTATCAATCATTCAGTTCATTTATTTACTCTTTTCCATAAAGTAGTACCAAAAATCTAATATGCCACTTTTGTTTAAACATTGTCAGCTGTGGGCAAGAAAATATCCACGCAAAGGCAATTATATATATGAACGTAGATGTATAAACATACATACATATGTACATTAAGGTGTACCGCTTTTCATACAAAAAAAAAATCGGTACAATTTTCCCAACGGATTAATAAAATTTAAAAAATTTAAAAAATTTACGAAAAATATTGAGATTTACGGGAGCTGAACCAAAAATCTCAATTTTTTTAAAACATTTTCATTCAGACCTTTAAAACTTAAGGCCTTCTATCATATCAACTGATATTTTTGACCAAATATTAAAAAAAAAACTAGATTTCGGAAGTATTCGAATTGGTTAATATTTTTCTGAATGAAGAATAACAATTTTTATGATTTTGCTGGAAAAACGGTGAGACACCCTAATGCACATACATACATACATAAAATCATACGTATAAAGGCGATACAAATTAAAATAAACGATTCAGATTTCTTTGAATGAAATGTAATAAATTTATAAAACGCAAAACTGAAATTGACATGGTCATTAAAAAATCAGTAGCTGAAAAGTAAAGTATAGAAAAATGAGTAATGCGTATCGCAAAAAAAAACAAAATTTTTTATTATTATTGAATACCATGCATGGAAGAATTTATGCTGA